CTTCTCCAATTTATGTGCTAATCAAATTTTAACCTGCCTTTGACAGACACACAAATATTTTGAATGAGGAAAGAACGCATAACTTGAGCGGATGTAACTGCCTGCTGCAGATTTCAGTAGGAACCTTTCCTTTTGTTTAGCAGAGAGGGTAATGTTACCTTGAAGAAAGCTAAAGAGCTAGAGGAGTTACTACTGCTGCACTTGGCAGGGTGCCAGCTTCCTGGCAGTGCCATCCTTTTTTCTAATCATGTTTGTTCCTGTACACTGCTGAAAACAATGCCTGGAAGACAATGCTTTCAAAATTACAAACCTCCAGTTCTCCTTACAATGTATTTGGCTACTGTGAACTAAAATCCTGATTTTTGCTGATTTCCTATTTTAAATGACTTTTTAAAACACTGCTTAAATCCTGTTCTCATGCAGCAGTTGTAAGAAAGAAAATGTTTTTGGCCTAAGATATTTGGGTAAATATGGCGAGAGGCAGGAGAAAGCCTCTTTCAAGAGTCAGTAGCACACCAGTTCTATATTAAACCCATTCATCTGAACTGGGATTTTTAAGTATGTGTTTCTCCCCTCAGTGTGACTCACTATGATGAACCCTTGGAGATACTATGAACTGAAAAGGCTCAGTCTCAAGTTAATTCATGATGTGTAGTGGTCAACTCCTGAGCGAGCTAGGAGGCCAAGGTGGATTATTTACAGAGCTATTTCAGTCCATCTCCTCTTTAGATTGGCATATATTATACTGTCAGATGATGATAAAAACATACTAGAGATTATCTGTTCACAATTCTACAATATTGTAACTTCCCTACAACACAGAAAGATTGTGACTTAGTAATTTGTCTGACAAGTTTGATCTATGAATGAATTAGTTAGCTTTTAAATTTGTTAATCTATAATGCCACAGTCAGATGCATCAAAAAAAAATTGGAACATTTAATGGAGCATAGCAACTTACAAATATTTTCCTGTATTTGTCTTTAAATATGAGGATACTTAATATTATATTAAATTGTTTTCATTTAAAATAATCTAAATAATCTATGAAGTTTTAAGTAAGAAACCATAGAAGAAAAATATCTTTAAATTAAGCCATGACTATTTTTTCTTCAAAGCATGACCATTTCATTCAGATCATAAAACT